AACTTCAACTAACCCACGAAATCGCACCACCATTCACCATTGTCTTTTGTGAATTACTATCTCACAACAGACTCAGTGGAACTTCACTGGTCACCACTTCTCACTAGAACTCCAGGAAATCCTTCTTGAAGACAGTCACTAGTAATAAGAAATGATTATTCTAAGCTTATTTTTTAGACTAATCCCCAAAATACTGAGGTCAACACATTATTTATCATAATAATTAATTATTCATTGAGTATTATAAACTGACTAGTTAACTCACTTCGAAAAAAAAACGATCCAGATTATGCATGAATCATTATGCGTCCCAGTTTTTTTTGTTTTAAACAAAAAGGGGGCTCGTTAGAAAAGAAGATCTGAAATGAAATCAAGTTATGCTTTTATAATAAGAAACCATTAGTACATCGCTAAAATTTGAATCGATCACGAATTTAAATAATAATCATAAACACCTGTATTAATTTATAAGATGATGACATTTGAAAAGAAAACAGAAAACAGATGTATAGGGGAGGAATTGATAGAGCGAGGGGGGGGAGGGTGTTGGAGAGAGGGACGGATGAGAAATATACTTTTTCATCAAATGGAACTTGAAAATTAGTCAATTAGTTGTATAAACTAAAGTGAATGTAACGCATTGACGATATTAATTTGATTTGTGAATTTTTTTATCAATATTATAAATATTAGTAATAGTGAGCAAAAAATTTCATACTTATTTACTTGCGCTTGTACCCTTCATGGAGTATAGTGAACGAGAACATAAGTGGGGAGGAGCAAATGTTTTTGAACACAAAATTAACGAAAAAAATTACAATGGTTGAGATCATGATTCATTTGAAGCTAGACCACCATGGAAAATTTGGAATCACTGGATGGTCGTTTCGTTTTGTTGTTGGACTCCTCAGCAAAATAATTAGTAAAATCTGTGAATTATATAGTGAATACTTAATTTACAAAATGTCAGTCAATTGTCTCAAACTTGATTGTTTCTTTTTTAAATATCAGTCATTCATCTTACACTTCGATGTTCCTTCATTCCCATACCAACTTCTTTCTTTTCCCGTTCTTTCCTCCCCGATCTTTTTGAGATTCTGCTGCCAAACATTCTACTCCTGATTGGCGTTAGATACTACTCAGGTCGATATAAGTAGGATGCACCACAGGAGGAGCATAGGCCACTCATCAGCATTCTCTGTCCTGGACAAACCTTTCCAGTTCTTTCCAGTTGCTATTCATCCTTCTCATGTCTGCTTCCGATTCCCAACGTGGTGTGTTCTTTGGCCTTCCTCCTTTTCGTTTCCCTTCAAAATACCAAGTTAGCATTTATTTGTAGCTCTTCTAGGGCTGCTATCTTTCCCAAGCCTGGGTAAAAGAGGAGGGTTGGGCATGGGGTCGGCGTCCTCATCCTCTAGAAATCAATCTTGCTAAAATAGCGTTAATCAGAATAAACAAATTAAACAAGAAAACTCATAACAATGATGGATGTGAGTACATCCAGCTGACGAGCCCCAAATAGGATGAAATGCAAGTCCTGGATTCTACTGCTAGCCACTAATCATCTCTGCTTAATCAGTTATATTCTAGAAGTCGTTTTGATAGTAAGCGGGGAAAAGCCTGAATACATTTTTCCATTCAGTCAAAATCAAATGACTATCCAAAAACGTCTAGAGAAGCGACGAATTGTGTCACATTGACTGAATAATCACCTAAATTTAGTATGTTCATGGAAGCTTTCAGAATGTTAGGGATATCCATAAATACCCGAGTTTCCTGTACATAAACGAACCATGGAAGTCAAGATTGTATTCATATTTTTCACCTTCAACTAGAACCCCTTAGTTATTTTAACTTCTTAATAAATCAAAAGATGTTCTTACAACTAAAGCACATCATTATCATCAACAATAACACAGGACTGAGGAGAAATGTCCAAATCTTTTACCTTATTTCTCATCTAATCCAATATGGAGTTTATATTTTGATAGCTTAAACTACGTAATAAAATACATGTATATATTCATTACAGTAAGTAGCTGACGAAAAATACCTTTCCAATGCCATTATAAAATGAAATTTATGTTAGATTTCATGAAGTTATTTATCAAATCTACTTTGGGAGATAGTAATCAAAGAATAATGACACTATTCAAACTTTATTCAGATTACCCTTTTACAATTAGATAAAACAGTTAGATTTGATAAAATTACAATTTTTAGGTAATCAAATAGTGAAATTTAACAGATCAGAACTTTCTAAATACATTTAGTGTTAGAAGTACTTTAGAATCAACATTTACCAAGAGGTTTTCTCTAAATTTGAATATTAGGAAAACTGACTTGGTATCACATTGTCAACGTAGCTTCAAAGAAGATAATGTAATCATTATTTCTAGTATGCTGAACGCATTGATCTACATAGTTTTCGTTTGAACCACTAGACATAATTCCCACGCTAATCAATCTAAACTGCCTTATAATTTATAGTTCGCCTAATAACTTTGTATCACTGATTTAGACTTTGTTTTCGGAAGTACAATGCCAGATTTGGATATTACGGAAATATACGTTGGAAATTAGTTCAGAATTAGTTTTAGAGTTATTTAACGATCAAAACAATTCACTGTACAATGATGATCGGTATTTTCTGATCTACTACCACATTTAATAAAACGAGATTTATTTCTACGTTGTGTGTATCGAATGAGGTACAATCAAAAATTGACTGAAATAGTAACTGTTAACTACTATTTGCAAGAAAGGTATCCTAAATGTTTTAAAGAGAAATTAGTGTTACCCATAATATTCGAACCTATTTCATTTACAATCGATTAGTCATTGGGTAATAATGATCAATGTCATAAGTGTCAGAACCTTCTTAGTGAAGATAGAATTTTAACGACTAGGTAGCTAGATGACCATCAGTCAAAGTGACTCGATATCGCGTGTACTATGTTGACATGTGAGATGGTCGTTGGAAGTAGTCGACAAGAAAGCTTGTTTGACCTAGATTTCATGTTATTTGACACTAGTCAGAAAGGTGCACCTATAATCCTGAGGAAACTGGTGCTCCCTTGAAGTTCCGGTCCTGTGTTGCCCAGCTTCAAAGTCACATACATTACCATTGAGCTATCCGGGCCGTGACTGACCTCCACTAGGACTGAGATATATTTACAATAGATTGACCTCAATATAGTAACCAATCATACATGTCGGGTCAGCTCATTGGTAACGTTTGATTATAAAGCTGGGTGACAAGGGATCGGATCATCCAGGGAGCATCGGTTCTGTCAATACTACACATGCACCTTGCTAACGAATGCCAAATAGCACGAAACCTAGGTCGCCCAAGGAATCCTGTCGACTACACCCAACCACCAACTTACATCCTGTTTCACATATGTCACAGGCAGTCAAAGATTTCACCATTAAACAAACATGACAGTAATTTAGTGACTAGGATACAGGAGAATTCTTTACTCCTACATTTTTTTTACCTGATCACATGATAGTTTCGTCCGCATTCTATGGATTACAGTATATTTGGAATATCTAAATCTTTAACTTATGGATAAAAAAATACAATTTATTTAGGGCTTGGTCGATTACTTTCTGTATATGTTTGAGTAGTTATTACTTGTTGAACTGTTGAAGTCCACACGGGTGTAAAATATTGAGTTCTAGTTAAAAGACAATGAGTCAGTCAATGTGTACACGTTTTTTAAAATACAAGTACTGCTATTTTATTATGACAAATATCATCATCATTGTTATTAATTCGTCAACTGAACTTGTACTATGACAATGAAATCACTAACACATAACAGAAACGACATTTGTTTCACTACTTATTATCTAACATCTGAGTAGTTATTCGTCATCAGACTACCTAGGCATTACAAACCTAAAGAGAAAAAAAAACAGAGTCTATAAAATTGAAAATATTAATTTTTACTTAGTGTGTATGTGTGATTCATAATTGGGTCTGACTGGGTTTTTTTTAATTAAAAGCGAATAAGCTGATGTTAGGGTTTAGTGTTTTAGATAACATTGATTTCAACAGATCTGTTTTAAAATACACGATGGATTCAAATCGATAAAAATAGAAGTATGGATCTGTGGGATAGAAAAATTCAGTTGAATTTTAACATTAGACAAGTCTGCACACATTGGTTAGAAATATTCCTTAAGGGAAACATAAATAACGTTATAATCTATAGCCAGACATTCAGATAGTTAGAGTTATGTGAAGCTATAAATAGTGAAGTTGGGTATAGATGTAATTTAGTTATACATATTTATCGTTGAAAAGAAAAGCAAGAAGCCGTGAGCATTAGAGTTCAATCCATGTCACATATGAGACAGTTACCCACCACGAACAATAGATGAAAGGTTGTGAGAGATCATGGACTGATTGGAGTTAAATATTAGAAACACTGAATGCCGGTTTAGTGGCCAAAATGTCAGGTGTTTGCGCGCGAGACTTCAAGTCCTGGGTCCGACACCCCTACGCGGAGTCACGGATGCGCACTGCTGAGGAGTCCCATACTATGACGAGATGTTCATCCAGTGCTTACAGGTTTTCAATGGTGGTCTGGCTAAGAGGAAGTCGTTATTTAAAGTATGAAAAGACTACAATCCATAAAAATCCTTCATAGTAGGGAAAAAAGTCCTAAACTTCTGTCGACCAAATGTGTCATAGTAAGTTTATGACCTTGTTTAAATTTAGACAATCCAGTTTAATTTTGTAAGTTAATCAACCCTTAAATTTCTCGACATCATACAGTGGTTTCCCATTATCATTTGGTATTTTGTCAAGCCAATAAAACACAATTAGAATTCAAAGTGACTTGAATCTTGGACTGTCTCTCTCTCTCTCTCTTATTTGTTTACAACATACAGTTTAATCTATTGACACAAATAACTAATATTAACAAAACAAAAAACAGCCCCAGAAACTACTGCTAATATGACACCAAAAAGAGAGAAAGTCGAAATTACTCAAAAATTGAATAAATTTATTTCATAAGAAAAGCAGCAACAAATGAACCAAATGTGCATTTTATATGCAGAAATAGAGTCAGGAGTGGAATAAAATATAGATATATAAATAGTAAAACAAACATTATATATACGTACATACTCTGATTATATATGTACTAAAATAAACTTTAATTCCATTGACAAAAATACTGCAAAAAATTATTGTCAACATAAAAACAAAAACGTTCATCCTAATCTTTTTACACCTTGACTGAATACATCTATTCTGTAGGCCAAAAAATACCGAATGTGCTACTACAATCTGGAGGTCAAAACGTCAGGAACAAGAACTAATATTCAATAAAAAATCTTTTGCTATACAGCAATCCCTATGGGGAATAGAAAAGTTGGAATGTGGTGCAGAAAACTGGAAACATTAATAGTACTGCTAATAATAAAAGAACATAACAACAGATAAAAGGACTAAGGCAATAAGATGAGGGATTAATCGACATGTATAAAAAGCGTTTTCATCTTTTTTTTAATCATGAAAAAAGTTCGAAAGCACCGTACAAAAAATGAATCATAGTTCTTAATAGAGAAAAATAATAAGGCGAGTGGTTGGTAGGTTGGCTTGTAGTAAGAAAATTAAATGAAAAAAAATATAAAAACTAAGATGAAAAACTGACAGTGAGTAATCTTGGGGGAAAAATACTGATTCAATAAAGCTCAAAGGTAGTAATACATTTCAAAATGTGCTGTTTCAAGTACTTCGTTTCTTTTTCTTCTTTTAGAAAAAAAAATGAATTGAAGTAAGAGAATATTTGAAAAAAAAACTAAATAAACAGATGGAAGACAAGAGGAAGAAGACCGGTAAGAAAAATGTACTAAATATTTTCTAGAAAGTAAGAAATAAATTTGATGAAAAGAAAAAAACAAAAAGGATTAGTTTGTTAATTTTTCTTTGCTGAATCAAAAGGAAAAGATTAGGATGATGTACTTGTAGAAGTTAGTAAATATGGTAATGCTACTTGTACTGTTGATGCTGAGGCTGAGGCTACCATTGCTGCTGCTGCTGATGTTAGTGGGGATTGTGATATGATTGCTGTATTAGTTATACCTTGGATAGTGCCAATTGTACAACACGACTGTAATTGACGAATAGATGATAACATATTTTGATGTTGTTCATTTGATAAACTAATATCAGTTGATGGTAATGTACCATTTTTAATTTGCTAATTGCAGGCAAAAAAATATGGAAAATTATATGCATGAACAATGAACAAAACTGTGTATTTAAAATAGATGTATTATGACTGACATTTATGTTTCATCCTACTAGGAGCTCATCAGTTCAATGGACCCGTCATATCCTACTGTTGACGTTTACAACAGGACTTGAACCTAATGTATTTCATCTTAAACTTGTAATAACCAGCATTGTTACACGTCTACTTTTGAACAAACGAATTATTTCTAATCTTCTGAGTACTTTTGTCATTTATATTTGCAACTTTGAACATGTGCATGTAATCGTAAATAAGCGTCTATATGCTCACTTATATCTTTGATGTCTCTAAGTGTTAAATGACGTTCTCATTACATAGTTAATAAGCTTACCATCTTTGATTCAGCTTCTCCGCTTTGCATTTCTCATCGTCTGTCTGCATAAAAGAATATCTGAAATAAATTCGTCCAAATAATGCTTATTTGACTTTTCACTACCGCCATTGCTAAAAAAGGGGGTCAGCTTAAGTAGAATAAATGATGTCAAACTGAGAATTTATATACATGGTTCATTTTCCATTTGTTTTTGATGGAATCGGATAAAACAGGCCTAAAAATACTCAACATGTTATTCTCTGAACTACCTAGTTCGGATAATGATCAACTCGTTCAACAGTTAAGATGCTTAAATAGTTATTAGCAAGGATTAGAACTATACCGTTTAATTTCAGGATGAAAATTTCGAGTCCAAATGTGGATATCAATACTGGGATACAAGTATACCCAACCGATGAGTCCAAAATAGGACGAAACATGTGTCTTGAATAACACTGCTTGCCAAGATCCACTTATTGTAAATAACCTGTGACAAAATGGTGATAATGAAGTAATCCACATAAGACTCATATTTACGAAGATACATTCATTGGAATTTAGTCTTTACTATCAACAGTGTGATAATTCAAACCTATAACAATATACTATGTGGAATAAATGATAAAACAGGTGATGGGGCATGTGACGTAACAACATGTGAATTCATCTAACCTACTGTATTAACACTAGCTTACTGCTCTGTGATTATCTAAACAATTCTATAGACATCTACATAAGTTAGTCCACCAGTCAGAATTTTTTATGATGTAAGTTAACGAAAACATTAGTTTAATCTATGGGGATTTTGAAAACTTATCACATAATTTATTGACACACAAAACCACCTAGAATATTATTGCATAAATCTGTAGAGTGTAACATTTGATAAGTCTCATGATAGGGCAGAAAAATATCAACTCTGGGATACAGGTACATTCAGCTGACAAATAACAATTGTCTTATCATATACTTCAGCGAAATCAGTTACGGTATTGTGGAAATGTGAAAAGAATAGGTTCTACTATACTACTTATTAATTAGTATCTATTTATAGTTTCGATAGAATGTAATGAACATTTTACTTCGATACAAAATCAATCAAGAGTTAGGATTTTATCGTAAGACAAAAGAACTTATTGTTTATTACGTGAATCTGAATAATTGCCACATTAACTAATCTTTTTGTTAAAATGATCTGACTATATCTTTATTGACTGAGGTGAATAAGTCATGGTTAATATAATTTACTCTGAAGAAGTGGCTTGTATTAATTCACGAAACGTCAGAAATACTATTTTTATACTCAATAAGATATAACAAAAAATGTATTTATAATTAACTTCAGAAGTTACGATTTATAAAATTAAGTAATATATAGCAAACTGCTGCTAAATATAATTGCCATTAGACAAGGAGACGGCCGCCGACACCGAACTTCTAGGGCTGATGAGACTTTCAAGATAACCGAAGAGGTCAAGGACCTCATCTACTTCATTCCTTATGATTAGAATAGGCACTAAAAAAGCAGTATTTTGCATTTTAGCAAGAGGAATACATCCAAAATATCCTTGAGGTGTTACTAAGCTACTTCCATCATTCTTTTTAATCAGGACTACATTACTCTGCACGCTCTAATTCATTGAGACATTCTCCAGGTAGAATACCTTTTAAAATTCCTTCTTAAAATTTTGACAAATCTTAGCACCATATTTTTGTTAGTCTTACCATATCCAAGCAGTGCACTGAAGAGATTTATAATCAGATACCAGCAACCTACAGATACCTTCTATTTTTATTCTCCATTCATGGCTGTGAAGCAATATAGAGCAAAATCCTGAGTAATGTAGTTCCTCTCATTATTAGTTAAACAATAAGTATCTTCCTTGTAATGTTATAGGAATGAAAATATCCAAGTTATTTTTAAAGTATTCATCATTGTACCGTCATCATCATCATACGCGGCGTAGAACCTAACACATCTATGCAACGGTTGAAGTTGTCATACCATGTTACCACAGCGAGTCGGATTTATTTTAAAACGACTCCTTAAGTCATAGGAGTAGTAATAGTATCAGTAGAAGTAAAAAAGGTTAGGTATGGAAAAAGAAGAAAAAGGAATCAGGTGACTTTGGGACTCAAATTCTGGAGGAAGACAATGAGTTGATCCGTTTTAGTCACTGAGAACGATTCTGAGCCGTATCACCTGAAGTTTCTAACAATTCGTTACGATAATTACGCGGACCCCGGTCAGGTAGTCTACACTTTTCCACATATATCAGTCCAATTGTCAATGGCTTCGTATACTGGTATCGCGTCTAGGGTTTTGCAGCCCCTAGCTTTAACTTACACTAGTTAACATCTCACGTCGACGTAGGTGGTGGTTGAGAATACGTTATATACTGATATAAGTAAATTCATAATACAGATTTAACATACTGACATATATATTTTGCAAACTGATAAATAAATTACAAGACTTACTGATTGACTTCCGTAGATAGCAGTTGATAATTGACGCGTACAATTACTGCCAGTAAATACTGTATTATGATGTGATGGATTAAGTATTGACACGAATGTATTTGTTTGATGATTTTGATGTAAATTATGTTGTAAATGTGTTGGTGACATTTGATGCATAGAATTCGATTGTCCTATACAATTAGAATGTGAATGAAATTCTAAAATTGGTGTTAACGTAGCATATGGTGATAAACATGAACCATTCATTTGTGTATTATTATTGTTGTAAATATTAGTTAATTGTTTTCCAACTTGTTGAGTTTGACGACTGATTGGTGTACCATCATAATTTATAGACTAAAATAAACATAAGATATTTTAAAAGGAAATATTATGGTAACGTAATAAACACTCCTAGTTTGCAATAATAAAATCGGATAGCTGGATTGTTTTTTATAAGTAAAAACACTATATTCATTAGAAGCAAAATATTCAAACAACCATAAACATTGGAACATGATATTAGAAACGAAATCTCTTGACAATTATAAAACACACACGAAACTGCTTATTTATAAATTAGTAGATACAGTAGTATAGACACAAAATAACTAATTTTAAACAAATAATTACAGTTATAGTTTGTATTTTCTTTGTACAATTTCAATACATGAAAAGTCTTTTAATAAAAAATTAGTGAACAAACAAAAACTTTAGTACACAGATTACAACAACTATTGACAATGTTTTCTTCTTTTACCAACTATTAACAACATTTGAAGCGGTAACAATTGAATAAAACAATTGAATTTTTTTGTTAGTAAAACGTCACATAAATATTAACTTTTTTCACAGATGTAATTCAACTCCAAGTTATTATTATTATTATTATTATCATTACGATTATATTAATCAAACGCTGAAAACTAACAGCCTACCTCAGCTGACTCCAATATACCGGATGAATGTGTACTATGATCAGTACTGTAATCACTAGTTGAATTGCCAGTAAATGGCGAACTGGTTTGATGAAATAACATCACTTCATGACTAGACCCAGTGAATGGGCCATACAAATAAGTTGCATTTGTTGCACACTGTTACAATTAGATAATTTTTTTGGTTGTTTTCATAAATCAAACATATAAAATAAAATGATAAAGATATTAATTAATAATTAAGAAGAGACAAAGTTTAATTATACTATAAATATATTACATATCCTTATATACACGTATAAACTGTAAAAGTCTTCAAAAATGTCATGTAAACAATTTAACAGAAGCTTGTTTTCTCATTGAACAGATTGAAGTAAAAATACAAAACAAAGAAGTAACTACTTATCATATATCTTAGAATGAAATGTATTTTGTTAATAAGCAATTTTGAATAATTGTTACACAGGATATACTTTCAAAAAAAAAATTAATAACAGTTTATTTTCGGGACTATATTAAATGATTACAGATTATTCATCTTTTTTAATTTTCTGCACAGTTTCTACATCATATCGTGGTTTTTTTATTGGTTGAGTAAAAGGTAACCCTACCATATCATCATTTAAATGAACAGATTTTGAAAATTCACTTGTGGTAATATCCTCCTTTTCTTTTGTCTTCATCTCTTTGATTGAATTCATATTTGTATTAATTAATGATGGTGAATTAATTGATGCTGTAGCTAAGGCAGCTAATGTTGCTACTGTAGTCATATCAAGATTCATATTAATCTCATTATCAAATATATTTGTATTTGGTTGGTGCATAACAGTAGCAGCAAGTAATGCTGCAGTGGATGCTGTTAAAGTTGAACTTTGTAATAATTGTAACGTTGATGATAAATCGCCAAATGATGATGGGTATAATGATAAAGTTGAATTACTCACCTGTTGAGGAAATTGAAGATTTGGATTTGATATTGATGATGTTGATTTAGTAGCACCTATACTTGAAGATGTATCAATAGTGAACATGTTAGATTGAGGATTTGTTTCCTGAACGGTATTTTGAGATTGTTGTACACCTGTTGACCAATGCCAACTAGTTGGATGTTGAGCAGCAACAGCAGATTGATTCTGTGTGATTGTTGATGTCTGATTAATGGAATGCTCATTGTTTACATGTGAAACACTATGAGTTACTGTTACAGTAGATGACTGTTGTTGATTTTGTTGGTTATTCTGAGCTGGATTTTGTGGCCACTGAACAGCAGCAGCCATAGCAGCAGCTGCCGCCATTACTGAGGGGGTTGAATGAGATTGCGGATTAGTGTTATTAACACTGACATTGACTGGTGTTATCTGACCAACAACCGCAGGAGTTAAACAAGAAACAGCTCCTGTTTGGTGAAACTGTTGATGAAGTGCTGCCGTTACAGCTTGCTGTGGAATATGTGTATATGGCGATATGGCGGCAGCTGGAGTTGAATGTAAGGGAGGCAAGTAGAGAGGTGTTCCTCCATCCGGCTGTGGAAGTATCATTGTGGCATAAGGAGCTGTGGTCTAAAAATGATTGAAATTAATTCCTATTACTATTATTACAAAAGACATTTTATTAAAAAAACTAAACAACTAGGAAAAGAATTCTCATGAATATATAAAATAACAAAGGTTACTAGTATCTTATCCTATCTACTTCAAACTGCTTATTAGAAAAGAATTACAGTATAGCTATCAGTCAATTTCTAGCAATCAAACTAATTAGTCTTGTAGTTGTTGAAATAAATATTATCTATAGTGTTAGTAAGATGTTTTATGAGTCCTTAATTAAAATAGAAATTGCACCTTATAAATAATTCGTTGTTATGGAGTTTCAGAATTGTCTATGATGAACACTGTTCAGAGTAGTAACTGTATTTTAGTAATTCGAAACTTAAATATCAGTACTACTACACGTGTTTTGACGTTCAACAAAAACGTTTATTTCAAAAGGTTTACAGTACGTTAGATTAAAGTATACTGCCTAATGACTGAGCATGCTCATACAAACTGTACATAATTAATTAAGCATTCAACAATTTTCAGTGTATTCACTCACTTGAGTCAATATAGGATACTCTTGGCCAGGTAAAGGGAATACAGCCACACCATTTTGAAAGCTATAAGGAACTGCACTTCCGGTGAATAGCAAAGTTGTTGTTAGGTCTATATTAGAAAAAAGAAACAAAATGTTACGAATGTGCAAACTTGGTAACAAAATAGTCAAATAAATTAAGAACAGTGTACATACCTGGACGAGGAAATATTTGTTGCTTACGAATTGCATGACCTATGTTGAGTTTACGGTCTTTGAAAATGAGTGTTTCCGACTATAATAAGAATGCTAGCAAAATATTATACTAACCTCGTTCTTGATAATTTTTTCAGCCATTTCCTGACTTTCGAAAGTAACAAATCCATAGCTCCTATTGAACACACATGACTGTCAGTAATAAAACATACCCTTTAGATGCCCCAAGGCGATCATTGATAATTTTGACATCTTTTACTTGGCCAAAACTTGAAAAGAAAGACTTAAGTTCTTGTTCGTTTGTCTAAAAGCTAAATGAAAAGTATGATTCAAACCTACATTTGATGGTATTCCGCCAACAAATATGCGGTTTGGAATAAGGGTACCAAACTTGGGTAGACTGGAAGATCCAGGAGTTAATGGATGACAGAAAGGAATTAAAGCGTTCTCGGAGATGAGTCTGTTAGTATGATCACCCGTTTGAATATTGATTCCAGACTAAGTCAATGGTAAATGGAGGCACAGAGTTGAATACCTTACAAATGCTAGTTTATATTAATTTGAAGACTTTATGGTATTCAGTCAAAACTAAATAAATGTGCACAAAGAGATTAAAATCCACCTCGTTAAACAAGTCAGTGGCTATCCGAACCCAGTATCCACGTAGATAATGCTTTGTGCATTTGAAAGGAAAAGTATTGGATTTGAGCCTCAGTGTAAAGACAGACACTAAGGCGAGAATAGATTCAGCCGATGAGTTCAAAAATAGAACGAAACACATGTTCTAGTTTTCACTGTTACCCACTTTTCAACTCTAGCTACAGATACTTGTCACCTAATGCTATATCAATTCAATCTGCACAGGATGCATATATGCTAAAAAGAGACCGATTAATTGCAGTCTTCAACATCAACGAGACGATCCAAACAACCCTTACGAAGAAATACATAAATAAGGTTTTTAAGTCTGGTATTGTAATAATTCTTTTAAGCCAACTAAATTGGATAAACAATCAATTCAATGTTATAAAACCAAATGTCCAAAACACAAATTTCGCACTTAAACCAATTAGTCATTTTTTCCTTTAAGCTTTAAACCAAATCCTCACTACCTAACAAAAAATAAATTTTTACAGGAAAAACTAGATCTTGAGTCCAACTAACACTTAAAAAACCACCCATGGACTGGGTGACAGATTTTCGTATTGATAATGGTAGTCAAGCTATCAATTCATTCAAAATATCCAAGCCCATATATTACATAAACGACAGGAAGCTCATAACTTACCATTTTTTTCTTGCAAATAAAAGACAAAATCTATGGCCTCAAAACGAGTGGTTCCAAGATCAGAATCAAATAAAATGGGCAAAGACTTTTGTCAGATTAATCTAATTTCAATTTCGCGTGGGCAGAGGGCAGTTGTCATTTTATCTATTTCATATTCAAATTATTATTATTCAGATTAAAGTTTATTTCATTGGTTCCTTTATAAAGGGCCCCTCCAATTATTTGAAGCTGTGCGTTGTATGTCTATAAAACGCTCATTTAACAAACTAAAATATAGTGGGAGAAAATCGATTTGAGAATATCACTTGTGTGAAATCAATCCACCATTGATCTCATTTATAAGGATTCGAATTAACGTATTTTATTGGTTAAAAAAGAATTATGGAGACGAGTTCAACAAGTGCTCCTGAATATCATGAAGCCGTCTATTGAGGTAGTAGTGTTATACATTTCAGTTTTATGATGTAACAAATTGTTTTTTTTAATGACAGTGCAGATCCTTACACCTATAGCCTAGAAAGAAATATATATTGACTAAACATTTTTGAATAGACGAAGCATTCGGCAAAAATGCAAAATGCAAACACTCATTGTACATCACATCTCATTGAAATGTAATGTTATAGCTTGAGTGAGAATAGGTTAGCAAGTATTTCAAAATGTCTTTATCAAAACATGAGATCAGTTTCACGACCACTTCCCTGTGAAAACTTTGATTATTTAGTGAATAAACTGTGAAAATCAAGCACTTTGAAGTTACTTACTTTTACTTACGCCTGTTATCCCTCGTCGAGGAGCATAAGCCACTCATCAGCACTCTCCATCCAATCCTGTCCTGGGCAATCTTTTTCAGTTGCTATTCATTCTTTTCATGCCTGCTTCCATATCCCAACGTAGTATGTCTTCGGTCTTCCTCTTTTTCGTTTTCTTTCAGGATTACAAGTTAAGGCTTGCCTCTTGGTGCAGTTTGGTGATTTCCGTAATATATGACCTATCCACTTCCAACGTCTTTTCTAATTTCCTCTTCAACTGGAATCTGGTTTGTCCCTTCCAATAGTAGGCTGTTGCTGATGGTATCCGGCCAACGGATATTGAGTATCTTGCGTAGACAACTGTTTATAGATAATTGTACCTTTTTTATGGTGATTGTGGTAGTTCTCTCAGTTTCAGCTCCGTTCAGTAGAACTAACTGTCTCGATGTCGGTATTGAAGATTGTGACTTTGACATTGGTTAATAGTTGTTTTGAGTTGGATATGTTCATCAACTGTAGAAATGTTGTCCTTGCTTTTCCAATCCTCGCCTTTATGTCTGCATCAAATCCTCCTTGTTTATCCATGATGATTCTCAGGTACTTGGAAGATTGTACATTTTCCAGGGATTCTCGATCAAATGTGATTTGATTGGTATTTTCCGTGTTGTATTTGGGGATCTTGCTTTTTCCTTTGTGTGTACTGAGGTCTACTGACACAGACTACTGCTACATTAGTTGTCTTCATCTGCATTTGTTCGTGTGTATTGGGTAGAAGAGATAGATCATCTGCGAAGTCTAAATCTTCTAATTGATTCCGAGTTCTCCATTGTATTCTGCGCTCCCACTCAGATGTTGAGGTCTTCATAATCCATTCGACCACCGGACGAGTGAGAAAGAGGGAGAGTAGACAGCCTTGTCTGTAGTCCAGTGTCGAAGAAGTTTCCATAATGTCCCCCTATCCACACTGTGAAACTCCTTCTCATAGTCAAGGAAGTTGATTTATAGTGACGAGTTTCATTCGATTGATTGCTCAACAATGATCTGTAGTGTCGCGATTTGATCTGTACACGACCGATGCTTACGGAATCCAGCTTGTTTATCTTGAAGTTGGGCGTCTACTGAATCTTTCACCGGTTCAGCAACACTCTGTTGAAAACGTTTCCTGGTACTGACAATAACGTGATTCCTCTGCAGTTCTCACATTTACTGAGATCTCCTTACTTTGATAACCTGATGAAGTATATCTCTTTCCAGTCTGTCGGTGGCACTTGTGTCTCCCCTCAAATCTTCCTGAAAGGAAAGTGTAGCATACTTGTAGTTACTTTCATGTCTGACTTTAGTGTTTCAGTTGGTATATTGTCAGGTCCTACTGCTTCCCCATTGTTGATTTGTCTGATGACCATCCTGATTTCTTTGGTCGTTTGTGAAGTGACATCTATGGGAACGTGTGTGCGTGCCGCTTCGAGTTCCGATGGGTTCGATGGGGCTGGTCTATTCAACAGTTCCTCGAAGCATTCTACCCATCTATTTCTCTCATCTTGAATCTCGGTGATTAACTTGCCTTCCTTGTCTTTGACCGGCTCTCTGGTTTACCATATATTCCCGTCGGTTTCTTCGTAGTATCATATAGCTATCTTATATTTTCTTTCCTTGAAACGTTTTCCGCTTTTGTTACTAGCTCTTCCGCGTATTTATGCTCATCGACTCTAATACTTTTCTTTAATTACTTGTTCGCTTCAGTGTATTCAACTTGTGTCGTGACTTTCCCGGCTCTTGTTCGTCTGTTGTTAATTGCTGTCTTTTTGTTCTTCCTTTCTTGGATCTTGTCCAGGGTTTCTATGGAGAGTCATTCCTTATGATGAACCTTCTTGCGACCCAGCATTTCCTAACACGTTGAAATGAATACTTCTATGATCTCTTTCCAGATGTCCTCCATAGTAGCTTCTTCTTCCTTCAGTAGATCTTGTAAGACTTGGAACCTATTGATGAGAGCCATCTTGAATTCGTTGAATTTGTTAGTATCTCAAAGAAAGGCTGTATTGAGTCTTTGTAATGCTGTTCCCCAGTTGTATGCCAGCTCCTCTTCTGGTTCTTACTTCTTCTACTGTCCTTCAGACTTTTCTATTGATACAGATATGATCTGTGGTTTTCCGTGGTGTGATCCGATGAGATCCCTCTAGCTATGTATATTCGTTTGTATTTGCTGATTTCCAGTACTGCCAAGTTGTATCTCCTCATTTCCGTTTCTATTTGACTGGTCCTCCAGGTCTACTACATTGTCAGAACATTCCATGTACCTATAAAAGTTGTTGCTCAGGTTGTTAGAAGAGGCGTCTACCTCGTGACTTCTGAAGAATCTCGGCTTTCATCCTGAGGCATCATAGTTCTTCCTTCAACTCGAATAGCAGAGTTTAAATGGTTTAATTTATTTAATTTGGTTGGCATTTATTTAGCAAGGTTTTTTCTACAGGATGGGGTTGTCGACCTCAGGCCCAACCCTCCTCCTCTACCTGGGCTTGGGATCAGCAGTAACTCTAGAAGATCTACAGGCGGAGTTACTTCGAAGTTACTCTTTCATAAGTTGTGGAATATTTATATTATTTTTCTCTAGATTTGTGTACTGATTCCTCAAGTTCCTCTAGGTTGTTTTATTATTTACACTTTTAAAATAAACAATCTGTGGAAATTATTTAATTCGAAGCTAGTCTCACTACAGATTAGCATTAGCTGAAGAAACAATTGAAACTAAGGTTCCAACTTTCTGATCACCGAATGCTAACCAGTGTCATGTTCGTCTATTCTTTTAGGGATAATCGAATGCGATCGATCAAGCTGCAATTTTACCACTAGTTAAAGTGATTCGCCATAGTGTTCACTATATTTTGGATGTTAGGTGGTTGGAGGTAGCTGTCAGGATACTCCTACTCAGTATTGCTAACAAAAGCTAGGGTTCATTGGTTAGATGCTCATTAATAGTTTAACACTTCAGGCAAGTGAATCCATGACTACACTTGGTACCGAACCTTTCTCCTCCAAATTTCTCAGCTAACATAGTGCTTTTAGACCACTAAACTGGAATTAAACACGTTTTAAATCCCTACCGACTCTCAATATATAGAGAGAATTATATGATGCTATTCATGATCTGTCTCATTCCCAACATGTTTAAACATTATAGTTCATTAAATTATTTAGCATTTATATTTATCCTCATCGTTAATGAACACATGATGATTATGATTACGTTAGCTGCTTTTTTGAAAAGATTTTTACAGGCTTAAAGAGAGGTTTCGTTGTTGTATAAGGTTTTACATTGCCTTTGATGCAGAGTTCTAAACTATATATACATAGCTGAATCCTTGTCTCTGATTCTGAACAACTTGTAGCTGATATCAATTCGCAATAAATCCAACTGCAAATTGGACTAACTTCCACAAACCACCGAGTCAAACAATATTCATATGTTCTTGAGTAGCTAACTTTGAAATGGATTCTGAAAGTCATGATCAGAAGCTGCAAGTAGTGGATTTCAACCATATATAGATTAGGAAAAGTAGAGTCGAGCACTTGTCAGGTAATATCGTCTGGAAGTTTTCTTGGCAATAAATAAAAGCTACTTATTTATCTATGGAAATGTGAATCACTAGCCTTCAATTCAGATGTCTAAGGGCATCGTATTCACCACGAGAGCTGGAGGTATAAGATGTTGTATGCAGTCATGTGTGACTACTGTGATAGAGTTTGAAACTAGGAAAAACTATGTCTAGTTCTTCTTTCGTTTTCAGCTGACTTTGATTCCTGAGAAACACTATTCTCAATAATGAGTATGTGTGGCTTTTTCACGGCTTTTCAGTAAAATCGGATTAGTTTTCATAAAATTTTAAGTTATTTTCAGATTGTAAACAAAACCATTGGATAATTTCCTAACGATAATAGATATCCATTCTTTAAAATACCACATTTTCCATCGGATCATTGAAATGAGTGAGTAACTAATTGTACTATGTTTCTTTCGAATTCACATTCTTCTCCTGTACAATGCTTCATAAATGTAATCCCTATTTTTCAATACACTGTTTATCCTAACATCAATGAGTTTTCATTATTTCTTAGTAAGAAAAAGTAACCAATAATTTATGAGGTAAAAACATGCATAGAAATGTACTATACTGATGAACCGATTTGATTTTTTGGTAGAGGCATTTGGGTTCTTCCGTGAAATTCAAATGGCAATGATGGACAGCTTATAGCTTAATAAAGAGCTAAACGAAAATTACCTAAACTCAGTTCTTAGGATGCTTAAAATGATACAACCACAGTGAATATGACATAATATTCAGTCCAAATTACAAGAAACACATGTTACTGATATAGACCATA